AATAATTATATGAACATTTGTTAAATTAATATATCCATATGAAATAAACTACATGCACAAAAGAAACAAAACAACAAACCTATGTGTCATCTCAACTCTTATTTTCTGCAAATAATTCACTTATCACTCAGCTTTGATATTCTCCTTTATAAAATATAAATAATGACACTAATCTTACAGGGCCATTTTGAGGATGAAAATTAGATAAATGTAAAAAAAAAGCTTGACAATTAGTATGGAATGAATTTTATAATCATTCTTACTTGTTAAAAGTTTTAATATAATTAATACTGGATTAAAAAAACTTACAAATTCACATATTTAGAGAGGAATCACTTTTCCAAAATAACACGGAAAATGAATAAAACTTGTCCTCCTGAGTTCTGATTTATAGTTTCAACTGTTAGACTTTTCAAAATTCTGGTATTTCTGCTGTCTTTTAAGGATGCTTCATTGTATTTATTTCCACTTCTCAACAAGCCCTAGAATTCATCTGGAACATAATGCACATACTTCTAATCATTCTAGCAGATAAAAATTGGCATTTATTCACTATAAAAACTGGGTATGTTTTGAATTCAAGTTTAAATACAAAAACTTAGAGACGTGGAGGGCATTCTGTTTTGGAATATGTTCTTCAAACATTCTTTCCTCTTTTGATTAACTTTGTATTATCCTTTTTAGGTCTCAAATATTTCGACTTGGTTCATGATTTGTTCCTTTATGCAAATGTTGCAAAGAGAGCTACATTTTAAAAAAAATGATGTCCTGCTAATGAAAGAGAACTCAATATAGAAAAACTGAGGCAATCTTGTGCAAAGAAATATCGTATGGAAACTTTTCTGCATGTGTTATAATATAGAATTTTTCTGAAAAAAAATTTAATTTAGGGTAAGTTTTAATCTACTAGACTCTATAAATCAGGTTGAAGAGACCTTATCTCCAAGTGGGATGAAACATGAAAAGGCTGCCTTCTCTATCCTCCCACATAAAATTTAATATTCTAATAATTAGTTCCAAAGCAGTATTTCAAAACTAGATTTTAGGCAATAAGAGCTTATGTCAGGGTGCTGTCAATGTCTTCAGTTTTTTAAGAAAAAAAAGTTTGTAGGTAGGTTGTATAATATTCCAATTTCACTTTTTCCCTTTCATTTAAAAGAATTTCCTTAATGTCTGTTTTCAGTTCAATGAAATTTCTAATTTCTAATTTCAGTCTTGAAGTTACTCTCTTTTCATTTTTCTTCAGCCATTACCATGTTGTGGATTCATGCAATGCATCACTCTGGAATGCAATCTTTATGAACACATATAAAAGCCAATATTTTAATTGTTATGTTAGAGAAGAGATGGTCATAAATAATTCTGACTGAACTTGATTGCTGGGTAAACCAGTGAGAGGACTGGAAATAAAAATTCAAACAGCATTTTCAAGACAGTGTTGTTGGATAGACTAACTGCTTAAGTAGGAAGCTGTACTCAGGAATTTTACAAAGACAGTGCAAACTCAGAAGAAGGTGCAACTGGGAAAATCATGGGATTGCAGGTTTAGTAAAACAAGTTTTATTTCTGGTTGCACTACTTGTGACTTCAGCCAAGTTACTTAATTAACCTGGGTTTGTATTATGCCACATATGAAAGCATGGTGTTGGGTTCATAAAACTTTAAAAACACAGCACTAAAATTTATGATACTCTGGTTTAATGCCTCAGCAATAAAAATTTAAATCAGGTAGTGTTTTCACAAATGAAAGAAAGAAAGGAGACTGAATGATGACTTTTGCTATATAACATATTGCTTGTTTTTTTTATCCTCATTTTCAGATAGGTAATATTTAGAGAACAGCATCTTATAACTCATTTAGGATCACACATCTAGTAAATTGAGGGACTGCCATTCAAAGTTGGGAATTGCTTCCCAATACTAATCTCGTTTCATTGTACTGCAGTTACTCTCAGAAGTTTGTGACTATGTTTGTTTTCCAAAAGAAATTAAAATTAGCTTCAATGTCTTCACCTATGTTAGAGGGGTGTGTTTGGGTAGTCTGGGGTTAAGTCTTTAGTTTCTCTTTGCGTATTACATTTCTTAAAGATTAGGAAATATATGCTTATTAATAAATTTAAGTTGTCTTAAATGGTTTCAGCTAGGTTGACATTAAGATTTTTACTCCTTAGAATAATAATCTTCACATTTTAAAGACAGTTTAATAATAGAAATTGCTTACGGGTCTTGTAATAGAGTTGCACAGCAGAATTTCCTAGTATCACATGACAGGAAGTTCAGATTGTATGAAAAGCTCAACAAATAGATCTACTTTATAATAATACAAGCTTTTTCAAATTTTGGCAAATTATATATTTTATTCAAGCCTGAGAAAGTGGATACAGATTAAATAGAGCTTCTAAGAAGAATATTATTTTGTTATATTTTGTTCTCAGGAAGTAAAGGAATTTATTATAACTCTATTATGTGAGGTTTTTACTTCATACAAGGGAAGACTCTTTCAAGAATGTTTCTTATTAAGGTTACTTTATTTTCACTTTGCCTTTCTTTGTTTCTGCACTAGGAACCTTGTTAGGAAATTCTTTTGGGGCCATGCCTCATGTCCTGAAGCATTTAACGTTCGTAACCTATTTTCTTAGAACTCGCTTTTCATTTCCTGTGCTGAGCAAGTCAGTGCATTTGTGCATTTGGTGCAAAATTGACCTTTGATATATAAAGAACATAATTCAAGAAAGATCAAGCAAGGAGAATTATGGTATACCCTGTAATCTTTTATACACTGAAAAAAGAAGATCTTTAAAAACATTGTGAGAATGCATACAATTGAACCAAATATATATTTAGGTTCATAGCACATCTTCCCAGCAGATTTATTTATGGATTAGGTTATACTCAATGCCTCATGCCCTTTTTAGGTTACTATAAAGACAGATAGCATTATTTTGCATTCTTATTTTTTATATATTCTTCTAGTTATCTTAATTATTATCTGAAGGCAAGAACAATTAAAAAAGTAACTTTGTTGCTATCTACTTCTAATATTTTTAGTTTATTCTTCAGTCTGAATATACAAGCATTGCATGTGTGCATTTAAATCTCCTAATTGAAAATAACTTCACATCATTTTTAATAATAAATATGTTTGTTCATTTGAAACAGCCTAAGAAATATACTAAACATACTAAAATGTAACAAAATTTCTGGCCACTTATCTTTGTCACATATATTCAATAAAACAAAAAAAACTGAAGGAAAACATTCTTAAGTATCAACACTTACCAGTTTTATTTTACTGTCTAAGAGTAACATTCAAATTTTTCATGTGCATTTGGTGCAAAATTACTCAGTTATTCTAAAGTAGAACTTGTAAAAACTGATTTTACAGACTATACTATTTCACTCACTCAACACATTTACTGCACATTTATCAATGCTGAACAGTATGCAAGATGTTGCAGGTACAGTATGAATAAGATGTGGTCCTATCCTCAAGACAAGATATAAGTAAATAGACAATTAAAACTGATGATTTCTGTGATGGGAGTAAGTATGAAAGGCTACAGGAGCACACAGGAGGCACACCAATCTCATTTGGAGTAATAGAGGAGGCAAAGAGGAGGAAACAGTATCTCAGCTAAGACCTACAGGTTGAGAAAGAATTAGCCAGATAAAGAGGAATTCTACTGGGCAGGAAAAGCACTCTAAGGCTGTAAGAGTTTCTTCAGCTATATATCAATTTCTCTTTCAGATGTCAGCTGATAAATGTCTATCTGGAATGTACCTTGGAGAGCGTAAACAATCTCTCATTTTATGGTTAAGACTTGGTCTTGATATGACTTACCTCAAGTGATAGAATAAATTAATGGCCTAATCAGAACTTTGACCCAAGGCTCTTATGAATATCTATTCCCCTGAAGCTTCCGAGTAAATCCTGACTGCATGACTCCTCCAGCAATTCCTATAAACCTTTAGTACTTTAGATATTGAATTAAGAGTACCCAAAACTTTATTTTAAATATATGATAAAGTAGTAATTGAAACAAAATTGGCCCTAGTCAGCTTTCTACATTGCCAGAAAAATAGTAACTAATTTTGTAAATTATTTCCCCATTTTAATAGCTAAATTGCATTCAGCCAACCAAATGATTATGTGACGATCAGCCAATATTATTCCCATTTTTACAATACAAATGCTCCATTATTCAGTTTAATTTGGTCATGCTTAATGATAGCCGTGAAATGAAAATCAGTTTAAAAATAAAGGAAAACACAAAATATGTATTAGTTTAATTGCCTAAATTAAATTTCAGTAGGGAACATATATGGAAGGGACCAGGAGGAAATGAGAATAATAAGCAACGATTTTCTGAAAATGTGAAAATTATCTTAATATATTTTGAAGAGTTGTTTAATTTGGAAATTAGGTTTGTTGTTTCTACAGAAGACAATGTGAGACCATGATTTTTGTTTATTTGTAACATTTTAGAATACTATGGGGCAATTTTTATGGTTTCAAAACATAATAATTTATTATCACTGTCAAAAAAAGCTTTACTACTAATAAGATAGTTGAGGTCACAGAGAAAAAAATCATAATTGATAGTTGAGCCATTCTATTAAAAGACAATTATTTCTTGCCACATGTTTAATTTACTACACACATATATTAAGTAAGATGTCAACAGGTGGTTGGTTATACTGACCCCACAAATCAAAGGTACAAGATACATAGGATATTATACTGTAGAATTTCCCCCAAGGAATGTAAGTCTATAAAATTGAACACCAAGTAATAAAGCAATGAAAAAGCTACCAGATTTAAGTGGAGACAAAATAATCATTCAGTTATCATCCATAAAACCAGTCTAGTGAACCACATATCAAATAGTGAAGGATATTAATTGCTGTCAATTTTAATAGAATAAAGAAATATGGCATCTATTATCCAAGAGGAAAAAATAATGTAAATTCGCTAGCCTTCTAATTTTCCTACCACCTACCTAGGATTTTTGGCCGACTTGAAGACTGATCTGCTTATGTTTTTTCATGGACTGCTTACTATTTATCTTTTCAAGTGTCTTTTATTTTCTTTCACTTTCATATTGAGCAGAACTGAGAGAAACAACTCACTACAATAGCTACAAATGAGATTAATAGGGATCAGTGGGATACATTCTGGTGTGTAAAAGTTCTTAATAAGAAAACTTCGTTCTTTAAGAAATGATTATGTGTATTCCAACATAGAAACTTTAAAAGGAGCTTAAACGTGACATCTGGTGTCCCATAATCCCATGCATTTTAGTATCTGTTTCAGACTTTTTATCTTTCTGTGAAATATTATTATTAGTTGTTGTATTAAGATAGGATGTGTTGTGTAGATCAACAATATGTGTCTGCAGCTTTGGTCATGGTCTGATTTAATGGCATGAGATACATATGCAGTGAGCAGAGGTTTTATTTTAACTAGGTTTCTAAGTTAGAGAAAAGTGAAGTAGCTAACATCTCCTTTTCAAGAACAGTGGTCAGGGTGTGAGTGGATAAATGAAGTACTCTCGTTAATTAAGAGAAGTTTCTCAGTAATTAAGAATTAAGTGACCAGATACAAGTATCTCCTTCCAGTCTAGCTAGGATTAGTAATTCTTGACTGCGTAGTCCTGCTCAGTACCAACCAGTTTAGCTGTGGCTTCTGTTGTACCCTGTGAGATTCACTAAGTCACTTGGTCACTAGTCAGTGAAGCAAATGGGAAATGGGAGGAAATTATACTTTTGAATTGAATACTGAATACATGTGCAGATTAGAGGCTGAGCAGTCCTGTCCTACAGTCTACAAAGAAAAAAGCTTTATGCCCTTGCTACAGTGATTTTCTCAGTTTTACTAAATTTACAAATATTTGGTTTTTTGGTTTAGTAACACTTATTTTATAGTAAATTATTTTGGCAACAATGAATGTGAAGTAAACAAAAGTCAATGTCTAGTGAAACGTCTACTGCATTTTAATCTCTCTAGAAAGTTGATAATAAACATGCAACTCTCATAAAACGTTTGCTGATGTTTACCGTTTACTATGGGAGCCACAGTGATATTGCTGAACACATGAAGACCAGAAACTGCTATGAAGCCTCAGCATTCTATTTCAAAAGTTAGGAGTTATTTTAAGAACCCAAACAACTTCAGCAAGTATGTTGACAATTTATTTTGTGAAGACTGATTTTGCATTTAGATCAAATTGCTTACTTTCAATTCCAAGTTCTCTTGTGCACATATGGAAAGTGAAGCAATAGCTGTTATTATGCTAGTTCCAGTAACAGAATTCCACAAACACTCAAATGATACAAATTTTATATGTCATCACTTCAAACAGAATACCAAAAAATTAATTCTGGTAAATGTGATATTGTTTTATCCAATTCATGTAATTCAAGTAAAGTTTTAGGAAATTCATTAGATTGAAGGTGAAATATGATATTATTTTGAATACTAATATAAACTCATTTAATACTCAAAATTGAAAATGATATTTTTTAGAGGTGACAGTCTAAACACGATTTTAGATGGATCACATTGTGATGCAAAAGTTTTTATTAAGAAAATCTGGGGGGGAAGGTATAGTTCAGTGGTATGAGTCCAAGCTTAGCTAGCACAAGGTCCTCAGTTCAATCCCCAATGCCGCCACTTCAAAAAAAACTTAAGAAATCTAATTAACTTCCCCCCAAAAAAATTTTTTAAAAAAGAAAATCTAAAAAATAGAAATGTACTTAAAATTTATTGTGTGAATATTTAATTTGTAACTGTGTAAAACTAGCTATAATATATATCAATCCAAAAAGAAGCTGAAGTGTCAAAATATGACTTATTTTTATACATAGATAGTGAAAGTAACTTTCTTGAAGGGAAGCCAATATTGAATATAAAAGAATTCAGCTTTACAGTGTATGCTTTCCGATTTAAATTCCTTTCATCAATTTGATTTTAAACAAACATGAGCTTTTGAAATCTACTTTGTAAATCAACCCATGTGTACTACAATAATTTTTAAATTTTTTTGGTATATCATGCCTCTACATTTTGTTTAAAATTTCTTTGAAATCTTTATTAAAGTATTTAAGGGAGTGCCAAATAACTTTGGCATTTAAAGCTTTTATTGAATCAAAGCTTTATTTAAAATAAAACCTGCAAACAGGAAAACATTAAAATTTATCCCCACAAAATCAAGGGAGGAACTGAACAAATTAGATGATGAGAGCTTACACAGTGTTTAAGATTTAATTTCATAATTGCACTTTATAACAGTTCCACTTGTACAAGTCTCCTTTGATTGCATTCCTATTTTTAATTTGATAAATTTATACACTGTAATGGGTGGAACTGAAATTAAGAAGTCTTACAATTTCACAGCACCTATGTTTGTCAAACCAATTAAAATAAAATTCATCAGATAATATCTCTATGTTTATCTTGCAGAAATATTTGTCTAAGAAAGGTACTCAGTGAGTCAAAAATATAGTACCTATGAAAACTCATGGGCTAAAATGTTTACTCATTCAATTGAAAAGAAAATAATTAAGAATTGAAAAGAACTTTCATTTCACAGAATTTGTTCTGATCTTGCTAAACAGCTCAGCACCTATAGAGGAAGTAATTTTGTCAGTTAAAATATAATCTTTAGAAAAGGGTCAATTGAAGATGTTAATTTTGTTTATGATGTCAACCAGTTCTAGTTTAGATGATTTGGTCATCCTACTCTGAGAACAGGCTGTACCTTTAAAAGTCTGGAACGCTTCAGCTTTTCCACAGGCAATAATGCTTATTACACTGGTGGGTGTTTCAGTAGGAGGCATTAATAATCCCGTATCACCCTTTTTATGTTGAAGTGCTTTTTATTACACACGTATAGAGGAATGCACAAATTATAACTATGCTGCTATGTAAATGTGTACAAAGTGGATATATCTATGTAACTCAGATTATAAAAAGAACATAGCTAACATCCTGGAAGCTCCCTGATGTCCCATGTCAGCTACCACACTCTTACTCTCAGGGTCACCTATGCTGTAACTTCAAAGAACACAGATGGTATCCAGTGGCAGTCACCTTATAGTTGAGAAGCCATTTGAGAAGTACCCTTAATCTTCAATTGATTATCAATCAATCTTTAATTGATTGCTTTCATAATTCTGGAGAAAAGATTCACATACCAGTGTAAATCTCAATGATAGTATTTTGATTTCCACCTGATTGTTGGCTTTGTTCTTTTTGAACAAGGAGAGTTATAAATAAATAAATTAGTCATACAAACAGGCTGTCCTGAAAATATTGATTATATTTTTTCTGCAAATGCCAAGAATAATTTAGGTGGAACAATTAAATTTAGTTTCAAACCCTTAACAGAGAATCTTCAGAAAAAAAGTAGTTACTCTTATATAAAGTATATATCAGTATAGATTGATTATTGGATACCTGGTATGGGATTAATTTGTGATTCAGAGATTTTTTTTTCTTCCATTGTCTTCTGAACAGCAAGGAATTTTATTGAAATGGGATCAGTTGTTTTGATATTTATACCTTACCATTATCTATTTTAGCATATTTACCTCTTTAAAATATGCAATTACTTGTTTGAAATCATATAAACTTTGTGGAAAAATCAAGTTCTGGAAATGAAGTCTATTTTCTCCATTTCTCTGTCTAAGAGTTATGTTAGAAATACAACAGAGATTAGGAAGAAACTACCAGTAATTGATTAAGTATATGGAGAATTCAGCCAATTTAATATTACTTAACATATCAGTTTACATGTCCAAATCACCATATACTTAGTAATATTCTGCTTCTGCATTTTTAGTAAGTTAATTTCAACTTCTATATTACTGAATAAATTTCAGGAAAATACAAACATATTGAGACATTCTGAAATAAATACAAGTTATGAAATAATATAGCATTATATAAAATATTATTTTCCTGATATTTTCATAAGAAATGATGGAGTTTCTGCAAACATGTTTTAGAATAAAATTGAAAAACTGTAACACATCAAGTCAAACATATTTGGATCTGACACATAATAGTAATAATAATAATAATAATAACAGCAACAACAGGAACAAAAAGAATAGTAATTCCCAGTGCTTCTTGGGGGCTTATCACCTATGTGCTGGGCCTGATGCTCTGATTGCTTTCACACTGACTTATTTTATCCCAGCAAAAATTGATATTCAGGGAAGATAAGTACTTGCACAATGATACATAGCTGGTAAATATAAGACCTAGAACTGAAGTCAAAGCCATCTAATTTCAATGCCTATCCTTTTAACCACTCTAATCATTTTCATAAGAATTAAGACGGATCTTTAATAAATAATAGAAGGAGTGGAGTTTTTCTGTAGTATGGTATTTTTAGTCTTTATCAGATAATTCTGCATTTCATAAAGTGCCCATCATGCACAGAGATCCATAAACTCACTCCCCTAAATTACAATGGAAAAGTCTTTGTGCCTGCTATCAGGTGGATGGGTGTGCAGAACCTCTCACAGAGCTGGGAACAAAGTCTGAGGCTGTTCCATGTGCAGTTGACTTTCCTGGGTCTTTTAAAACTCAATTTTCTTCCAAGTACCTCTTATTTTTAATTCCTGTAACACATTTTCACTGCCTTCTCCTCACCACCCACATCAAGGTTGAATATCTCTCTTTCCCACTGCTATGCTTTTGCTTCTGCCTACATCATTTCACTCATTCCTCCTACCTGCTTTTCTAATGTCTCCTTTCATTTTAAACAAGTGCATCTTCCACCTACCTTCATGAAGATCTGAAGATTCCCTTAGAGAATTCTAGCTACTAGTACATAAATAGATGTATTTTTTCCAGGCAAACTTATTCTGAGAAATAGTAAGTTTGCTTTTCCAGTTGAGTACAAGCCCAATATTTTATACATACCCTTCTAAAAGCAAATATTAAGTGAATATACTTTCTGAGTCTCATCAATAAAGTCTGAAACTCTTCTTAATCATTTGATATAATCATGATTTGTCAGTTCATTCTTCATCCTTTATAATTAAGAATAAGAATTCTACTACCACATTTTTATAACA